AAAAAAAAAAAAAAAAAATCATATCAGACTCTACATCGAATACTTCAAATATGTCTATTGAAAAGAGGGAATTCTGAAAAACATCACTTCATGTATTGTATAGATTGTCGTCTCGGAGAGTTTTTGTTTCTCAAGCTATCTTGGAACGCTCTCTAAGATAAAAGGTTTATCAAAGACCACACCCATAATTACGATGTTTACAGGTTGTAGTAATTGAGTATAGTGAATATCTGTCTGACTTCTTTCTTTCTGTGATGAGAAGGGCTGACTTGTTTTTGACAACATGTATTAACGTCAGCAGCATTAGCCCTATTGTCTCAGGCATTGTTGAGCGGTGCCATCTATCTCTTTTAGATCCTTTGATTTGCTCAAACCTGTCCGTCGACTTTCATGTCAGCCATCACTCCTGCCAGACAAAGCCTGCACAAATGCGGCATTGCATTTTATGTTTTATTTAGAATTTCCGACTGGCATAGTGAAGAGTTGTTCAAATGTAACTTAATGACATTTTGATGGAAAAGTTTGAGCTCCAAGACTCCAAAACGTTAATGTTGTTCAAGGCAGCCTTTAGTTTTCTTTTATTTCCACAGGATATGAAAATCAGTTAGCAGACTCATGAATCTTTGTTGTGTAGTCACAGTGATTTGGGGATTTTGCACGTATCACACATGGACGTTACAGTCAGTATGAATAAGAGAAATATTCACTGGCAAGCATTTTGCAGTTCTCTGACTTTTACCTATGTACGAAGGACTCAAACAATAAAAGCCTATAAATTACCTGTGCATGCAGATACCTGCTACTACCTACTGTTATGTGACCTTTATTAATGCCAAATATTTTTTAAATCTTGCAAAGTTGCCCGAGACAAATAGTGAGTGTTGGCACAAAGTTAGCTGCGTTTTTATTATTCTAACCGTGATGACAAAGGTCTGGAATGCCTACCACTGAGACACTCTTACGAGACGAATCAACAACAACCTATGTTGTTGTTCAACATGATGCGTTTATAGCTTGTTACGTCTGAGGCCAAGATATCACAAATATGTAACTGCAGGCTGAATTGATTATTTATGCAGTTTAATTGCAGATTCACGCGAATGTGAAACTTTGATACATTAGAAAGTTGACCAGCAGAACTGCTAGTAAAGTCCTTTAAGACTTCATTCTAATGACATCTCTAGGCCAGTGTTAGAATATGTCAAGCGTCACTCTGCTTGTGTTACACTACCTATTTCATGGTATAGCGATCCCTGCCTCACTGCGATGGATTTCCTGGGGCTCGGCATTTCAATCTTCATGAGGTGATGACAACACTGCTTCCACTGGCCTGCAACAAACAGTATGAGCAATGATTTCAAAGCAGATCAACATAGAAACCTTTTGTCAACAACTGATTTACAACCTGCCTCCATCTGACTTCAATTAAACTGTCACATACTGTTTCAATGATTTGTGAGCTGGCAGAATCTCTATTCGGTGACATTACCTATAGAGGCTATATCATCATATCACTACATACCGTTCCACATACTGAAATGTACCTTTTGCTGTGCTTGTTATTAGTTTCCCTGGGCTGGTATCTGTGTAAATGTGCAGCCCTGCAGCCTTAAAACCTGACTGAGTAGCTTCTTTGACGTCACAGGATGAACTATGATCCCTGAAAAAATGGTGCACACAGACAGCTGCACATTTCAACACATGATAAAAACAATGTAAGGGGTGATAACAAATCAAAATAAAGCTCCCATACCCACCACAAATAACTTTTTTACTTAAAAATGTATTGAAAATGTTCTAAGGAATGTACTTACTGTCATGCAGGATAAGAGATGTATACAGATAACTAAGGGTTAAACGTAGCATCTGTGAAGGCCTGGGCTTTGTTCCTGTACTAATATCAGTTCACTTCATCATTTTCCTCAAATGATAAGTGTGTAGACAAGCACTTGTTCACGATACTGGTGTCATAAGAAACAATCCAGCCCTCGAATGCATGCCAAGAGACAATATGAAATAATTTTTGGAAACACTTTCTAAATCCATTTTTACGAGAGAAATGATTGCACTATAAAAAATGTAACTTCAAAATACTCCCTAATCAGAGATCTATCTTAATTCACTGAGGTATAAACGTGTGACAATAATAGCCCCAAGGTGCAAAGTATTTAATTAATTTAGCATTAACAGACTTGTTCTTTGGAGACACACCCTTGGCGGGTGTGTCTCTAAATCTTTCTTTCATAAGAGAAAAAAAAAAAAATTATCCTCTCAAAAACCTGAAACAAATATTTGGCATCTGTAAAACAGCCCATGGTTTATTATTGTTTTGGGTGCGTGCAGTCAAACCTAATTAACCATGCAGTTAGCTTAACAACAGAAAAGCATCAGTAACTGATGTCTAACAAATAGTTTCCCCAATCATGATGCAAAGCGGGAAAAAAATCACTGCACAGACCTATAGAGCCTCAGAGATCAAGGCACTGCAAGCAAAAATACACAAAACACAACCGCAGACAAATGGACAAATACAAAACAACACAACCAAATGCAGTAACACGCTGTATAGTGGCCTGTATATAGACTACAGTTATAGTCAGCTCTGATCTGATTTTCATAAATAGATCCGATGAGAAATGTATCAATGCACAGAGATTCTTTTTTTTTTTCTATTCAGCAATGGCTTCCAGATGAATGATTGATTGTACGCAGTGTGTGAAATTCCCTGTGACAAATACCGTGTTGCATTATAACCTGTGTCTGCAGGAGTGAGAGTGTGTGTGTGTGTGCAGATATCATCAATCTAGATCGTTCTGGTCACTTTAACCCTCATGTCCTGGCTATGTGCGTCATATTACTGTCTGGTGTCATGTGTGGTATGCAAACTATGTGCATGCAAAATGTTCTACTTTTTTTCAATGTGTTTTAATACATATCTCATAAACTCTAGAGTGAATCAAACCAATACAAAGTAAATGTCAGTACTGTTCAGATCCTAATAAATTATGATAGTGATGGTGAAAATTGTGCGTCATAGTTCATGTCTTCATCAGTGTATTTTTTTGAATATCCCACAATCCACGTATTAAAAGAATTCAGTGGACAAGTCAAGAGACCTCAACATGCTGCAACTTAAGAACAAACACACTACAAATACTCTCAACATGGCTGCTGCACATACAATCATATAGACAAAGTGTTTCCAGTGTCAAAGTTTGTTAAAACAAAAAATAAAACAGGTGGAAAAGATGCCTCTGATCAAAATAGAGCAGCAGGTGCAGTTCACTTTCTTTGGCACGAGCACTCAGGCACACCAGAAAGCTGGTCAGTGCTGTATCTGGTACGACGATAGCCATCAGTGCCCTGGCAAGAGGGATCGAATATGGGGTACAGGCACTTGTGAGGACTATCAATACAAGCAGAGCAGCTGGGGAAGTAGAGGGAGGAGAGGAAATAAACACACTAGACACAAGCCAAAAAGAAAAACTCCAGGTATAAACGCCTCAATCACCACAATTATTTGCAGGCTTTGTAAGTCACAATGCATGTGCTCAAATAAAATATTTGCATCTACTCCTCCCAATATTTTGTGCGCTCGGGTAAGACACACCCGAATGCGCAAAATGGACAGATACTAAAATAGACAGCGTGTGTTATTTCTGCACGCAATCGTCAGTTCGCATCATAAGTAGATCAGCTTGCATGTTTTCCTGTGGGTGAAATCAAGTTTGCACATGTTTTTACATGCGCAAACCTTTAGTAGATCAGGCCCTAACTGTTACTTAATGTTGTAGATATGTCTGTGTACAAGAAATCACACAAAAAATCATTTCTAGAAATGTAAAAATTATATATTTTTTAAAAAAAGCCACTCACTCCTCTTTAGCTTCCTTTATGTAGAGTTGGTTTTACGCTTCCACATGACAAGAAGTGACACATCTTAAATTGTGTGTAAGCTCATCCCTTGCACCAGGTTATGAATACTGTAATTATTAAATATAATAATACTGCAATTCCACACTATGTGACATGCGTCTGTATACTTTTTACCAGCACTGAGACAGACTGGATGGACGGACACATAGAGAGAGAGAGAGCAAGCAAGAGAGAAGCAAGAGAGCAAGAGAGAGAGAGAGAGAGAGAGAGACATAATTGAAATCTGTTTTCATGTACAACAGATGAGGAAGTCCAAACTACTAAAAATGATTTCGGGAAGACGGAAGATAAATATTTTGTTTGTGACATTCCACACTGTACCACACACACAACATGAAATAATGTTGTCATGCAAGTAACTGCAGACATGCGCATAGCGTGATAAACACCCCTTTTAAATTAAAAGACGAGAAGTTCACATGCAACTTCTCCTGGGGTTATCTGAGGTCTTGTGTGATTGTTTGGTTCTCGTTGCACAGTGCATCTCGAAACGTACAATAAGATTGTTATAATAATTTAAGTGTCAAAGTAAATGGAAGCAGGATTGTCTTTAATTGTGTGTTTGTATCTGGCTCTTGCATGCTTGTCTTGAGCTAGATGTGAAGACCGATACCACTTTCTTGTCTGCGGAGTAATTACAACATGCCTAGCTTAGGATAAAAAACTGGAAATTGATTCTTTCCAATACCGCCCATTGATTTCCACTGGTTGACAAGCATCCAGGATGTCACTGTGGTTAGTCAAAAAAAAGCCACATGGGATATAAAATAACAAAAACACATAACTTATAAAGTTTCACTTATTTTTTCACTCATTATAAAACTGCAAAAATTAAACAAACATGACATAAAGTGAGCTTTATATGTCCTGACAATCATTTTACTCCATGCTACCATTTCCCCTATGTCAACAGTGTTCTGTTTTCTACTGATATGGATGTGCAAAGGTCTCATCTAACATTTGTCACGAAAGTAAAGCAAGGCAAAGCATTTCCTCAAATCTGCTCAATTCTCTTATAGAAAAATTACCATCGTGTTGAAGTAATATCCCTGACTATCAGATATGAAGTCAGTATAACAAATATCCTGTTTACTTATAAGAGGTTAAGAGGATATGGTTTCAGTCCTGTTTTTCTTATGTATGTCTTTTTGTTAATTATCTGGTAATCTCAGAAACCTGCCCACATTTTTGAGTGAAAACTGGAGCAAACTCAGGTCATGAATCAGCAACAGAACAAGCGTCAGCAGTATGAAGTGTTGTGTGCTTTGGGTGCAGATGTGGATTAAGGTGGATAACTGTGAAGGCATGAACTACTGAACTGTACATATGTATTTTACCGCAGATAAAGTTCAATGCCAAGCTATTGCCTCTCAACGCCCAGTTGTGTAACCTTAGTATGAGAGTTCTCCAGAACTATGAAGGGGAGGTTTTTTTTGCGTGCTTGTCAAACTAAAGATGTCATAAGATTATCCCTTGGCCCGAAGCCTAAATTCACACCTAATTCTATACAAAGAAAATTAGAGCAAACAGCAATCTCATGTCACTTGGACAATTCAAGCCTGCCCGATGAAAGACCTCGTGTGAGCAGGTTTTCAGTACGTGTGGAAACATGACTGTGTCAGTGCTGTTCGGAGTTAAAGTAAACATTTGTGTTGTTGTTCATCCAGCTCTCACTTATGTTATAGATGTGTTGCCACAGGGCCTCATTCCAGCGCTGCGTGTCTTCAGGTATGTGCGGGGTAAGCGTGTAGGATACATCTTCTCCTTGACACTGTGGGGTCACGTATATTCTCTGGGTATGAACAGCATCTCTCTCCAACGAACAGACAAGTGTATCCTGACAGAAATGAAAAAACACAAACATGGAAGGTGACTCAGTGTTGTTGTAGTTTCTTCCGCATAGCTAAGACATTACGTGTAGCCACAGTGCTACGGTCAGCCCACTCAGATATCAGCAGCTTGTTTATAGACCGAATAATCCAACAGCTTTGAATGGAGTTTAACAGGAGCTCATAGTCAGTCTGCAACTGACAAAAACACTTTTACAATAAACAAAAAAATAATTAAGCAATATTATACGTACAATCTAATCAGTTCATCTTTGAGTCCAGTGAGAACTGGTCAATAGTTGAAGAAATTGCAACATCATGTTCAATAGGGACAATAAGGGTTTTTTTCTGAGGTCACTGTGACCCTGAACTTTGACCATCAAAAGGAATCAGTTAATTAGTCCAAAAGAAAGTCCAAAATAATGCGTTCATAAGGTCGAAAAAAAGGGGTCACAGTGCCCTTGAGCTTGAGCACCAATTTCTAACTGTTGACTCCAATGGTTGTAGCAAATCTGAATACATTCTCTCGAGTCATTGTTGAGATATCGTGTTGAAAGAAGGGTACATATGGACTCCCCGAAAACATAGCAGTAATTCATTCATTAGTGATTCATAAATAGTAATATAAATGAAGGTGATGCTACTTAATTGACGGAGGGAAGTTGTGTTGTATACTATTCGTGTATAGACCTAACAAAACAAACATGTTTTCATTATCTCTCTGATGTGGTTTCAAATGAATGTCAGGTCACACAACCATAAAAGATTGACAGTACAACATGTTCAACATGTGTTCCTTACAGCTGCAATCACTTCAGAACCTTGGAACTAAAACTTGGCACACTCAGACGTGCTACATGTGAGGCACACACGTCTTTTGTAAAGTGGATCAGATTAGATTAGACTTTATCATTACAGAATCTCTTCTGAAATGTGTCTTGCATCCCTAGATATCAATTGTGTCACATAAAGAAAAACAGAACATATAATCACACAACAGAACAAAAATATTTACAGTTTTTCCCATCATACTCAAGCAGATGAGATTGCATGGGGGAAATCCCTTTAACATTCAGTGCTTCGACCACACGGAACACGGAAGCTAAATGCTTGACATGCAAAACCTTCATATGACGTTACTGGTTACTCTCCCTGTCAGATAAATATAAAAGGTAAAAGTACCGTATATCTACCATTGTTTTGTTGTGAATTAAATGAACAATACGCCACTAGGGGTCTCCCAATCAAAACTCCTAGTTTGATGCTGTTGTGCAGCAGCATTGGATCATAGGAGTTGTCTTGCCCACCATTTCCCATGAAAATCTATCTGAAATCTATCATGTTCACAGATGAGGTAAAGCGTTGAATTGTTACTTTAAAGTAGAAGTATAGTATAGTATTATTTTCATTTTATGGTCAAACATTTTGCAAGGATGCTCGAGTCCTCTACGTTCCAACCCTTTGCCTCACGCCTCTCCCCTCTCATGCTTGAACTCTGTCCTATCATCCTACATCTGTGTGGTTTTCTTCGGCTTCCGTCCACAGTCCAAAGACATATAGGTTGTTTGTCTGTGTGTGTCTCCAGTTTCCCTGAGACCCTTAAAGAGTATGAAGGAATGGTTGGACGGTCAAAGAGCACCATATGATCATTTTAGACTTGTGTAACAGAAAGAGAAATAAATCTGGTTCAAAGTGCATGAACAATATTCCAATCTTCAGATGCTCACCACTTCAATGGGCTTTCTCTCCTGGGAAATTCTTTCATTAATTCACAAGTGCACTCTGGTGTCCTCAGCATGTTATTGTCATCAACATGTCCAAAGCATAAATGCATCTCTTTATTCATGAGGTGCTGCTCATTCAGAACCAACCTTTTTGATGGGGATCGTGAGTAATGGCTTCTCCTCGGACTCCAGGTCTTCTTCACTCTGATAGCAGAGGAGACTTTGCCCCCTGAGGACGCCATAGACGTTTTCCCAGCAATCGAGGTCCTCTCCAAGCTGAATGAGAGCGGGGAGAAAAGTAACACTGTGAGAAGAACATCATCAGGTGGGAAAATATTGAGAAAATCTAGTCACCTTAACATCGAGTTGACCACTTATGACTGGTTGAATCATGCACAGAGGCTGAGCAACCAAGCGGCAGCACATATTTCCATAGAGAGGCAACCAGTACGGACTATCCTCTGGAAAAGAACAGAGATTTAACCTTAACTTTCAGAAGAGAGGAGAGGAGAGGAGATACTGGATCGAAACAACGTAGGAGAAAACATAATTCGAGAGAAAATGAGAGGACAAGAGGAGACAAGAAAATAAGAAAAAAGGAAAAGAGAGACATGAGGAGAGAAGAGAAGAGAGAAAGGAGAGGATTTGAAACAATGAAGGAGAAAACAAAAGAGGATGAGAGTGTAAGAAACCAACTAAAGGAGAGGAGAAAATAAAAGAGGGTAAGAACAGAGGAGACAAATTATAGAGGAGATGAGCGGGTGAGAGGATACAAGAAAAAAGGAGAGGGGAGGAGAGGAGAGACAAGAGGAGAGTAGAAACGAGAGGAGATAAAGGAGTGGAAACAGCGTAGGAGTAAACAAAAGAATTTAAGTGCAGATGAAACAAAAAAAAAAGAGGAGACGAGAAGGTGAGGGGAGACAAGAAAGTAAGAGAAAAAGGAGGGTAAGTAGAGAGGAGGAGAAGAGGAGAGGATTTATAACTCACCTGCTGCTGCTAAGGACAAATCATGAGTCTTGAAACCCTCCAGCACATGTTCGATTCTCAATGTTGTGTGAGCCAGCAGGTTGTACTTCAGGGCCCTTCAGGTAGAAAGCAGAGGAAAAATTCAATTTCTTGTCTGAGTAAAAGTCATCCATCAAACATTCCTCTTTAGTGTGTGTCTGAGGGGAAAAAGTCAAACCTCACAGTTTAGACGGATGAGTGGATAAAAGTGGGGACAAATACCCCTGGCGTACGTCTCCTCCACTGGAAACAGACCCACAAACAGCTGCAGACTCAAACGCAGCACGGATCTTTTTCCCAGAGGAGCATCCCAGAGAGCCCCCCAGACGGGTCACTCTCCTGGGTCCTAGAGCCCCGGGGGAGAAGTCCTCCACCACACAACTGCTGTAGAGCTCAACGCGGAGATGGAAGCCTGGATCCACCTCAGTGCTGCTCACACAAACACAGAGAGACATTTCAGCATCACATGTAAAATGTCAGACAAGCTCTAAGACGCTCGCAGTGAATGTGACATACAATAAGATAGTGTCATCAAAACAGATGTCAGTCAAAGTCCTGTCCACCATCACCAGGCCGGTGTCATAGATCTCAGTGCCACACTGAAGCAGGCAGAACACGGCACAACGATGCAGCTCTGCAAAGAAAGATAAAGAGGACAAGTTGAGAAATGATCTAAAAGATCTTTTCTGTAATAATAATAATGGAAGTCAGGTCATGGTGTGGATAAAGATTTAAAAATGCTTTCATGATGTCCAGCAAAACAGACTTTGCAATATAATTATATAATGAAGGGACCAGTCTATTTATTACCTCCACCAAGGAACTTATGTTTGTCCGTCGGCAACATTACACAAAAACTACTGGACAGTGTGCAGGTAAACGATGAAAATTACTGCACTCTGAAGGAAGCTGGATTTTATGACTCTGTCTTTTCATCGTTCTCTTTTTATTAAGGGGATGGGGTTACTAGGTTTATCTGCCAATGTAATTTCTTCTTCTTGCACTAAATTACTGCTACTGCCAGACCTAATGTCAATCTGTATTGCAAAAATTACAGAAGGTGATACCATGTCCCTCTATCTCTTTTTCCTCACAGAAAAAGTATAACTTGTAAAGTATAAAGTGTATTCACCTTTCAACCATATATCACCTTAATGCTTTACTAGCAAGTCAAATATACCCTACATGTATTATTTATGCAACAGCTAGTACAGATACCAGGTATTTATCCATCACCCACTATTTATTCTGTCTTTGTGTAAACTAAGCAATCTGAGGCTTGTTACACTACTACTCAAACAGCTTTATGCTCTCATCTGTGGCGAATTTACATTCAGGACAGCAAGTTCCCTCAGGGCTTAATGCAATCTCTCCTCTGGGAGATGATTTGTCGGAGAATATTCTGTGATGCTACGGTGAGAGTCTCTCTGTTCACGTAGGCAGTGGATGAATTTTGGGGAAACTGATTAAAAGAACGGCTCTAAAGTATGACTCGGTTCCTTCATTCACACCAAAGAACCGTTAAAAATAATCGAATTGTTCTACAACGTAATAACACTAGTATGGCTCAGGGAAGAACCAATGATATTTTGAAGGAGATGCAGGAATTTGTTTAACTTTCAACACTGTGAGATATTTTTATTTTATTTTTTGTTGATTTCTCAGTGTTAATGAATCTTGATGAAAGAAATCTGACATGTTTCGGAACAGACATTATTATTATCATTATAATGTTTTCATTTTGGTAAAATCTGAAAATAGTGGATTTAAATGTGCTTTAATGAGGGGATTGTTGGGCCTGGGGTGGTGAGGTATCCACTCTGAGTGCTATTCTAGTATTTTAATTGATTTTAGAAATTCACATTATTGAGTTCCTGACTCACCTCCTTTGTTTTTGAAGTACTCTGAGTCTTTCCACATGAGCGGGACCCGAAGGTCTGCAGAGGGAAAATTGTAGTTAGGAGAAGAACATCAGTTTTAGTTATTCTTTGCATTTGTGGGAAGAGGCATTGGCTCCCACTCACCTGACAGGGCGACTTTTCCGGTACATGGCACCGAGTCTTCAGATGACCTGCGGGTAAAGATCATTTATCAACCATCCACACAAACAGTCAGGGGAAATAACATGGAGTTAGTTTCATCTCACACATGCACATGTGATGATTCGGCATGCACACGTGCAATGTTACATATAAATTATAGGTTAGGTAAACCCTCACATCTACAATCTTAACAAAGGTCTGCCTTCTAGTGGCTGATGGCAGACATAACAATACCCACAATCACTTCACTTACTTGTATAGCTGTATAACATCCCTTTCCACCCACACTGTTCTATTATCCACAGTATTTACCCATACATACAGTTTTGTACACCATCTGACCTGCGTCCTTCTCTCCGTAGGATTTGAGCTTTCCTCATCTCCTGCAGTTGGCTGAGCAGGGCGAGGATTCGAGCGTTACAGGTGAGCAGGCTCTTTGAGGCCTCCAGGGCCTGCTCTCTTTGGGAACAGGCGGCCAGCAGCTTACTGGCCCCCTCCCGCATCCGCACCTCCCTCTCAATGTGCTTCAGCAACTCTTTGTCCTGGAAATAGATTAATTTTTTAAATCATATTCTTGTCACGAAACAGGAAGGAAGACAAACAGTGTTCTGAGGATGGTAGTGAGGATTATCCGGCCCTTAGGACCCAAAGAGTAAAGGAGTCTGAGCATGAATACACTTTATTTTCAGCCCAAGCTATAGCACTATAGCCCTTCAGGGATGCCAGTGACCATCAGTTGATCCAGTACTTTGGTCCAGACGGAAATAAGTCTACAGCTCCTGAATGGTTTGGCACGTAGGTTTGAACATTCTGAGCCAGAGGGGTTACATAACAAGAAGTCAGAACTGGTGGAGGTTACATTAGTGTTCACTACACTCAGTTAAATAAGTGCAACACATTAAGTCCTTGGATACAATCCAGCTGTCAGAGCAGGAGAGCTGGTTAGAGATAAATAAGATGGTGCTACCTTTTTCTTGCCAGCAATATTTTTTACAGTGAACAATACTGAATACAGAGTGATGGAAACACAATTTCAAAATCCATGTGAGTGTGGAATGTCTTTGTTGATAATCCGTCTAGTGGCGTGTTTCCTAATGACTGAAACGTTTCTTGTCAACAAGCTGTTTAAAGTTTCTAAAACATTTCACTTTAAGTGTGATGATGACTCTAAAAGTTTAATATGAATAACAATTTGAATTTATACAAAGTTAATAATTCAGTCAAGTACTGTGTTGTGACTTTGTAATGAAGTTCCCAAATAACAAAATAACTTTCTATATTTATTGTTTCACCTTATTGTAGAAATGAACAGTCATGCAGTTTAATTAGTGATTTGTTATTAGTTTTCCCCACAGAAACAGAGGATGCATTGAATTGGATTCATAATCACATGTGCAATGATCTTTTTTCTGACATGCACCTGGTAGTTAGAATTAGTCTAGATTCTAAGTTTTATTCCAGACATCAAAACAAATTAACCATACATTTCTATACTGGACCACAATACTCTATAATACTCCAATACAAAACAAGGGAAAGTGAATCTGTGTTCACTGACCTGAGTGTTTTCATTCATGTTCCTTCTCCGCTGCGCCTCAGAGGTCGGCTCCAGTCCCTAAACACAGTCGGCAGGCAGTGCGGTGAGCGGACTGACTAATCCTACGGCTGACTACAAGCATTAAGAGTGGACCTGCAGACAGAGCCAGAGCCGCTAGTTACTCAACACACAGATCAAAAACGGTCTTAAGCCTCACTACAAGAGGTTGCAGCAGGAGGGATTAGAGGAGTCTCAAACCTTAATGTGTTTCAGTCCCACAGCTCCATTACTGTCTGGCACCAGTGAATGTTCAACATAAAATGATTCAGAGTTTAAGTATAAAAAATGAATTTACACTTTGATTACATTATATACAGCGATGGTCCATATATAGTGAGCAGATCAGAGAGGTGCCGACACAGATTTCTGAGGTCATGAGGTGTGATGGTGTGAATTGGATTACATTATTGTATGGTGCAATAGCTTGAACTCTCAAGAGTGTAAATCCCTCGTGTGATGCAAAACACAGGACCTCAATGCGTCAGTGATGTAAACATTCAAACAGGTTCATTATACCATTCATTAAGGCATGCTAGTCCCATGACTCCCATGAAAACAGCTCAAACCAGCACAATGTTCTTAACAGCTGGACGTGATCATCATAGTATAAGCAATACAATACACAATACTGCCTACAATAGTATTATATACGAGCAGTATTTTTTGCTCTAATGCTCTAACATCACAGTAAATACTGAATCCAGTGGTGGTGTAAGAGTGTTTTATTCAGATGCTATAAAAACCCATCTATAACTTTCAATTACTTAATGAAACATTTAAGGACACGGTGTGTTTTGTTTGATGTATGAAACACAATTTGAATGCTGTGTGCGGAGTGTTGTACTGATGTACACTATATACAAAATATTACAAAGTTACTTATCCATTACTAATGAAATTTGACTACCTCTGCTCGCAATGGGGTGAATCTGCAGAATATATTTATGCAATTGCATTCTGTATCTGATGTCTGCAGTTTTCTAAATGAAAGGCCAGTTTTAAGCTATCCCTTTTTTTTTTTTATCAAATACAAACAAAGTTGGTTCAGATTAAAATAAATTATTAAAAATGAACACAGAAAAAGACATGCGCATTAAGATTAAAAACATAGCGCGTTTTAATGTACAACTATACAAAATATCAACTAATCTAGTTGTGTCACCCATGTTGTGGTCTGGAAAGCAATATGGGCAAACATTTAAAGAACTCTGTTATTCTACAATATTTACATGAACATAGCTGTTGATAAACAAATTGAGATATTTGAGGCTCAAAACACAATGAACTGTTGAGAAAAAGCTGCCGCCTCCTTCAGTCAAACTGGTTATTTACCCAAAAGTGAAGCAAAAGCGTCTAGATCACCACCTGGTGGCTGGCTGCAGAACTGGTCATAAACCCCACCTTCTCCTCATTAATGGATGGGTCGTGGACCAAAATAAAAGTCAAACAGAAGGCTGCATTTGAAGAGTGATTGTGTCACAGCGGCGCAGCTAAACTGTCCCACTTCTAAGGCTCCTTAAAATGCTGCTAACAAATGCGTCCCTCACTAGAGATAGGAAGGCTGCAATACGTGCATCTTTCCCGGCCCAAACTATCCCAGGATTCATTGGGCTTTCAGTGACACAACATTTTTCAAAAAGGTAATGGCATAGAGACATCCAATGCTTGAGTACCATGCTTCAACTCAACAAACAGCCAACAGCAAATGAGTTTAAACACCGAGGGACATTGACACTTTCATGTCCAATTGCAGCCCTGTTGCTAGGCAACAGCAATAAGGGCAGGACAAGCTGGTGATGCAGAACATGGAAATCCACTGTAGAACAGACCGGGTTATTTCAGTTTGACCTCCATGGTCTGCGCGACCCACCATGGAGGTAATCTTTATGTGCTACGTATGTCCTCAAAAGGATGCAACACAGGATTGAACACAGCTTCAGTACTCATCAATCAATTTTCATAAATTATGGTTTCTGTCATTTTAGGTCCTTATCACACTAATGCATGTCCAAGTGCTCATTTTTCTGTTGCCATAAAATAGTAGCGTTCATATCCAGGTAGTTTTATCTCTGTTTCTGAAGTGGGAGGATGTGAGGATGCATCTTTATATACAGTCTATGTTGTAAACATACAATTGTATAATGTTTATACATTCAAAATGCTTGTGAAAGTGGAAAAGTTTTTGTAAATATAGTAAATTCAGCTTCACAACAGCAAAAAGGAAAGCCTGTTATAAATAAATCTTGACAGAGAAAACTCTACACAAACATAATGAAGAAAAAGCTGAGCTACTGGCAGGTTCTTCCTCTCACTCCACCTCACTCTGGCTTTCATCCCTACTCCACTTCAGTAAAAATATCACTTAAGAAGTACTGAGACACACTGGTGGGCTCCACCTCTGTAGCACTGCTCTCCACACTTTGCTGCGGAGCTGAAACCTACAACAAAGAAGAACAATGGATCAGCTGTAATCAATGAAACAATTCCACTGAAGGAAGATTACTCTTCATCCACCTCTGTAGCCTGTAACCCTCCTTACCTTAGCTGCACACTGAGTTAGTGCTGCTGAAGTGGAAGAAGAGGCTGAATGGCTGGGTTCCTCTGGCTGCTGTGTGTGAGCAGGTGTGGGAGTCACAGCGGGTGATGTTGAAGCTGCAGAAGTCGAGGTGGAGTGTTTTCTGGTGTGTGCAGTTTTGACCTTACGGTCCTTGGAAGCTGCTTCGCCACAAGGAAGGTCGCTGCTGTTCTTGTCCGAGAGGAAAGAAGGGAAATCACCGGATTTTCTGTTAGAATTAGAAAAAAAATATATATTATAATCATCAGTCATGTCAAATTATCACGATTTGGCTGTTCTTTGTCCAGCATCATCCTCTTATTTTGGCCAATACTATGATATATGACCTAGTTCCTAGAGACAATCAAACATCAATTAACATCGATTCACACTTTCGTATTGTCGATGTGCTCTTATTTTGAAATCTGTACTGCCTCTCTCGTGCTTGAGGTACCTGTTTCTCTGTACTAATCATTTCAGACGAGGCGCCCTCTGAAATGGATAGCTACAGACAGAGTGGAGATGTGGAGGGAGAGAATAGAAGACAGAAAGGCCCTTGACACAGTATCGATAAAATGCAACATTTGAATTAAAATGTCAAATCCAAACTCAGATCCAAATCAAATCATGTTTCAGTTGATTTTGTGAGTTGATATAAATGTAACTAATCGTGTGAAAGCAACCACAGGCCACTAAATCATATGGAATTGTATTGTGGCAGATTTTGTGATATCAGCAAGTATCACATCATTGTCCAAAGAATGGATATCTTATCATGTTGTGATGAAAACTGTTGATTTACACCCCTGAAACATAACCTGTGAAACATCAATATAACAATTGACAAAAAGAGCATGTTGTCATGCAAATGTTAACATTTAATTGCAGCCTTAGCTGATCATATGCTGCAGACTCCTTAGTTTTATTTTAAGTATTTCTTTTCCTCACCTAGTTCCACTGGTCTTTATTGTCCCAGTTTGTTCTCTTGGACTTCTGTCCTCTGGGCTCTTCCCAACCGACGGAGTCTCCTGTCCTATGTCTACATGGTCACCACTTCTCTTCTGTGGCTCAGTGGCCTCGACCTTGCCCGCAGTTGTTTTTGCATCAGAAGCTTCAGCCTGCGTGGAAGGACCAGGAAGGCCTGAGTCCTGGTTGGTGTTTACAGCAACAGTTTTGCTGGCTTGTGTCTTCTTTGAAGTATTGGGCTTCACCTGCACTTTGGCTGGTTTAAAGAGAGACAAACACATGATGAAATACAAATGTCCAGTTAGAGTTTATGATGAATTTGTGTTTCCCCTGCATACCTCTTCTTCCAGTTCCTGATATCCTCTTCTTTCTAAGGTTGGTTTCAGTCTTAGCAGTCTTCTCTACAGTTTCTGGTAACGTTGGGGGCTGGACTGTCTCTGTTCCCAAAAAAACCACACAAAATCAACATTAACTATCAGTAATATGAGATGAACCTCTAGTTAAAAAAGAAAGATGAAATCACTCTACCCTGTGGATCCTCTCGATTCTCCATGACCGAATCCTGGTGAGGGTTAAAAAAAAGAAAATATGAGACAAACATTGGACATTTTACACAAGTGGTCCCTTTCAGCCTCACTTACTTTTTGTACAGCCGAGTCCCGCCCTTCATCTCTTCCACTGAGGAAGCCCATTTCACTACTCTCCTCCACTGACATGGACACAGGGACATTAGAGAGAGACGTGTCTTCCTGTGGTGCCAGACTCTCTCCAGGAACACTGCAGAGAAGTGAAGGCAGTTAAAGAACCAGACACTTTAAAAAACAGGCTCCATGTCTGACTGGTTAGCAAGCTGATAAAACCTCTGTGGCTGCATTGGTGCATATCCATCAGGAAGATAGGGTAAGGGCTCCGCTGCACTGTCCATCACCTCCCCAGATGAGCAGACTGGGATTTCACTCAGTGAGAGGATGAAAAACGGTTCATCTGGATCTGAAGGCATCTGCTCTGACGTCACTGAGGAGACGGGGGGAGAGAGGTTTTCACAAACACCATACTGAGTACACACTACACAATACAAATCATTTGATGTGAGTGGGATGTGATCTATGTATGACTTACAGTCTGGGAATAATTGGAGACATGGATGACTTTGGGTCCCCTCTGTGCCAAATGTGGACGTGTTCTAGGATTTAAGGAATCAGAGAAAAATATTTCAGGATAAACCCTCAAGTCTATAAGACTCATTGTTAGACATGTAAACAGAAATGGATGTAGCCCTCTAGAGGTACTCTGTGTTAATTTGACTCTGAGGTTGAGACCAAATGGAGCAGTACCACTGGAAATCCTGAGACATAGTGAGGCCTTTGATTAAGCAAGAAGAGAATGAGACACAAGGAAAACATTTCAACAATTGTGGAGAGACTTTGCAAGTTTGTAGGAAACTACAGGAATCTACATGATGCTCCTTTGCCCAGACACATGGACCAACAGAGGATTTTGCCTCTTTCTTAGGTAACACATTAATACAACCTCCTCCACCATTGCCATGTTGGTTGTTGTCACACACTCGCGACTTTGCGCTGCCCTCTAGTGGAAGTATTCAAACACAAATTAACTTAAGTACCCTTATTGATTTATATCTTACCTGAGAAGAATTGTCCACTGTTTGTGTCACACAGCCCAGAGAGGACACAGCATCAAGTGAATGGGAGTCACTCTGCTTTGGGCAGGACTCTTGGTTACTATTTGATTCAACAGCTCCCTCTACTGGATCTTGAATGTCAGGTCGGAGTTCAGACACAGGGTTGAGGGAAACCGAAGCCTCAACACCTTCTGATTGAGCACCAGAATGTGTGAAGACAGAAGAACCATAAGTGGCAGTAATCCGAAAAATCTGCTCAGCATTATTGAAGAAAACAACTTTTCTTTTAGGGTTTCAAACCTGCTTCTGCCTGTGCTGTGTTCTGGACTTGTTGGGGTTGTTGAGGCCGACTGCAGCGTCCGAGGTTGGGTTTGGGATTAATAAGCCTTCCTCTTCGACTTTGAGGGCCTTTTTTTGAAGACTTGGAAGAGTCGGTGAGTTCTAACTGAGAACGATCAGTGCTGTAAGTGGGAACAGTTAAAAGATACATTTCTCATTAAAATTCCTTTAACATTACTTTCCAAGTCTAAAAGTAGGATTCGGATTCAAGGACAAAACGTTTCCATAGAATCAGAAATATATATCTCAGTCTCACATCTTACCTTGAGGCAGATTGAGATTTGTCACTAGATGTTTGATGAGTTGCTCTTGTTTCTGAACATTGCTGGATTGCTTCTTGACTTTTTACTTCTGAGTCACCTTCTGGACATGACTGTGGGCCGCTCTCTGTTGGATGGATGGTTGTTATGGAGTAGACATTCGAGGCCAAACCCGATGATATTTTTGACTCTGTGGAGCCACCTTCTGGAGACTGAGGATCTGAAGCTGTAATTGAATCCGACACTTGTGAAGCAGGCTCAGTCTTCATGCTGTCATTATTTGACATTTTGTCCCCCGTGGACATTTCACTGGTTTCGCTTTCAGTGATTGTGTTTGTCAACAAATACTGATTCTCAGCAACCGATGATGTTGCCACGACAATACTATCAGAGGATGTACCCTCCGTCTTTTCCGACTCTGCAGGTGCAGATTTTGTTGAACTGGGTTCTGTATTTAACGGACACTGTGTTGATGTCAAGAGCTTGAAGTCCTCCTCTACCAGTTTCACTTCTGTTAGTGAACTGTCCACAGGTGGTGGTTCTGATGTTACATTTGAAGAGGTGTCCATATCTGAGGGTTCGCTGATTTTCTTCGGCTGCAGTTTTGTCCGTGCAGTTGTGGTGGATGAGGCTAAGTTGGGTTTGACTTTGGGAAACTGTTGTCTTCTTTGACGTACATTTGGTTCTGAAATCTCTGAGATTGCGTTTGGTCCAACTTCTGTTTTTTGTTCCATATGTGTAGATGATTCCTCTGTTGGTTTATGAGTAGAGCATAATTCCAGTGATTGTACAGAAGAAGTTTCAGTACTTTGAATTGGAAGCGAGATGCTGCAAATTGGCGGAGCTTCTGTATCTGCTGTTGTCTTCTCAGTGGACTGAGGCTTTAAAGTTGGGCTGGAGGGTGTCTCCACAAGCTGCACATGCATGACAGGTTCTTTTGTGGTTTGAGGTTTAGACCGAGGGGTTCTTGTTGTCTGTGCTAGGTTTGGTTTGGGTTTGACTTTTGGAGCTCTCCCTCTCCTGATCTGACAGGTCGATGCCACTTCCCTCTCTCCTTTCTGACTGACTGGTAAATCTTCAGGTTTAACACATGAAGCAGGGAGGGCACAGCTCTGTTGGACTGAAACTGCATCACCAGTTGCCATTTTTTCATCTGTGGATCCAGATGTTGACCCTGTGTCTATGTTACTGGTTTCAGAAATGTTCTGGTTTTGTGCGTACACTTGACCAGCAAGTGCATCAGCTGTCCTTTTATCCTCAGTTGTAGAGAGTTCCTGTGTGGGTGTAAGAGTAGAGCCTAAATCAAACAGTGGTATCAAGACTGAAGCAGGAGAGGTGCTCCTGGTTGCTTTTGGTTCAACTTCTATTGTTTTTTCATGGATTTGGGGGACTGGAGCTGGGCTGGGGTCTGTCTCTACTGTGGCTTTTGCAGCTTGAGGTTTAGATCGAGCAGTTCTTGTCTGTGCTAGGTTTGGTTTGGGTTTTGCTTTTTGAGATCGTCCTCTAATGATCTGACAAGTAGATGCAACTTCACTCTCTTCTTTCTGACTGACAGGTACATCGTCTACAGGTGTAACAGCTGGAGAATGATGGCCACTGCTCTCTTGGACTAGAGCTGAGTCTTGCCAAACATGTGATTCTGTGACAGATGTAGCTAGTTTATCACCACTTTCAGTTGCTTCATCACAAGTTGCCATCTGCTCCAATCCACCTTCTGTGCTTTTCTCCTCAGTTGTAGACAGTTCTTTTGTGGGTGCAAGAGCAGAGCCTGAATCAAACGATGGTCTCATAGCTGCAGCAGGACTAGTTTGGGGGACTGGAGTTGGGCTGGGGTCTTTCTCTACGGGGGCTTTTGTAGTTTGAGGTTTAGATCGAGCAGTTCTTGTCTGTGCTAGGTTTGGTTTGGGTTTTAGTTTTTGAGATTGTCCTCTCCTGATCTGGCAAGAGGATGCAACCTTACTCTCTTCTTTCTGACTGACAGGTACATCGTCTACAAGTGTAACAGATGGAGCAGGATGGCCACTGCTCTCTTGGACTGGAGCTGAGTTTTGCCCAACTTGTAATTTCGTGACAGCTGAGTCAGATGTTACCAGGTTATCACTACTCTCAGTTGTTTCATCACAAGTTGCCATTTTTTCATCTGTGCATCCAGATGTTGACCCAGTGTCTCTAATATTGGGTTCAGTGAGAATCTGGTTTTGTGAGACACTCTGATCCAATCCACCTTCTGTCCTTTTCTCCTCAGTTTTAGACAGTTCTTTTGTGAGTGTAAGAACAGAGCCTGAATCAAATGATGGTATCAAAGCTGCAGCAGGACCAGTGCTATGACTTGGTTTTTCAGGAGAGGCGCTGCCGGTTGCCTCTGGCACTACTTCCACTATTGTTTTTTCATTGATCTGTGGGACTGGAGCTGGGCTGGGGTCTTTCTCTACTGTGGCTTTTGTAGTTTCAGGTTTAGATCGAACAGTTCTTGTTTGTGCTAGGTTTGGTTTGGGTTTTGCTTTTTGAGGTCGTCCTCTTCTGATCTGGCAAGTAGATGCAACTTCACTCTCTTCTTTCTGACTGACAGGTACATCGTCTACAAGTGTAACAGATGGAGGAGTATGGTCACTGCTCTCTTGGACTGGGGCCGAGTCTTGCCCAACTTGTGATTCTATGATAGATGTAGCTAGTTTATCACTACTTTCAGTTGCTTCATCACAAGTTGCCATTTTTTCATCTGTGGATCCTGATGTTGACCCAGTGCCTCTGTCACTGGGTTGAGTGAGGATCTGGTTTTGTGAGACACTCTGATCCAATCCAGCTCCTGTACTTTTCTCCTCAGTTGTAGACAGTTCTTTTGTGGGTGTAAAAGCAGAGCCTGAATCAAACAGTGGTATCATAGCGGCAGTAGGACTGGTGCTGTGAATAACTTTCTCAGGAGTCATGCCACAGGTTGCTTCTTGTTCTACTTCCACTATTGTTTTTTCATGGATTTGTGGGACTGGAGCTGGGCTGGGGTCTTTCTCTACTGTAGTTTGAGGTTTGGATCGAGCTGTTCTTTTTGTCTGTGCTAGGACTGGTTTGGGTTTTACTTTTTGAGATCGCCCTCTCCTGATCTGGCAAGTAGATGCAACTTCAGCCTCTTCTTTCTGACTGACAGGTACATCGTCTACAGGTGTGATGAAAGCCGCACAATGTGGACTCCCTTTGTGAACTGGAACAGAATCTGATGTTTCAGATGCTGCTAAATTATTAGAGAAACTCTGATCTGACGACTCAAATGTCATGTCTCTGGTAGCTTCTCCACTGGGTTCAAACTGGGCTTCAGAAAAGCAGTGACTCTGGTGTTCTGAGGCACTTTGGTCGAATGCTGCTGTACCTGAACTGTCCTGAGTGACACACAGCTCTTCTGTGTGTTCAACTTTAGTAGAGGACTTGTCATCTATTGATGATGTTGAAGAATATTCTAGTATCTTCGGGGTTGTTCCTTCAGGAGCTGATGGTGATTCAGTGACTTGAATGTTGGAAGCTTCTGTGTTGCTCTCTTCAGTTTCCTGTTTTGTTGATGTATCTGATTGGGATTTGGGCTGTTCAGTCCTGGAGCCTCCGCCTAGGTTAGGTTTCACCTTGGAACAGTGTCCTTTTCTAGTCTGAGGAGAATGTTTCTTTGCAATCTCTGGACTTGACTCAAACTGAGGGCTACAATCTGTAAAAGACACAGTGTTCTGGCCACCACATGGTTGATCACTGCTTTCAACCACTGGAGCATCACCACTGTCTGTTGTGCCTTGTTGTGGCTCCACAGTAGCAATAATTTCTGATGTTTCTGCGTCTCCATGACCAAACATGATATGAATGTCATAGTTTTCCTCTTGGTCAGCACCTCCCAGGTATGGTTCGGTTTGTTCTGCACCGACTGATGTTGTCCCTGCAATTTAACATATTGCCAAATATTAAATGTAATTTAATAAATAATAACTTAAAAACAATTCCAATAGTAGAAATTTGTCTCTAACCTGTGTTATCTTGTGTGACTATTTGATTCTGTGCTGAGAGTTGAGTTAGGTTGCCAATGGTCAACAGAGTTTGAGCAGCTTCATTGTAGCTCTCGTCTTCATTTACTGAAAGAAAAAGACACCGCAAAAATGTATACAGGAATGAAATGAATCTAAAAGATGAGTAATCAACTAGTCAGAGTTCCTCTTTAACATACCTTCTGTGTGTTCTGAAGAGAGGAAATCTATAACGTCCTGCAAAGGAAACAAATACAGTGTGATTATTAATGATCATTGATCGTTATATGAGCCCCACATACATAGCTTACATAGCCCCGCATACATTTCTTTAAAAGGTGATTACATCCAGACAAACAAAATGTGATATGAGTTCATCCAGCTCAGCAAATAATAAAATATCAAAGTTGGAAGAATCAGTTTCTTTATTAAATGCCATAAGTCATAATATGCTAATTATCCAACTGCAAACAAATACATGCATTAAAACTATAAAAGGGAAACATTGTAAAAATACAATATTTTTAGATTCTTAGATTTTATAAATATAGATAAAACAAAAATTTTAAGTTATAAGAATTGTAAGAGAGGTTAATGAGTTAATCAGCAGTAAGACATTTTAGACATGAGACACTTACAACCAGCAGGTCCAACTGATGTTCACATGGTTCAGCTGTGCCTGTCTCATTTTGCACCAGCTCGAATGAGGAATCAGGGCACAGTTGGGAGAGGCCCAACACATCAGGCATATTGGCCAAAATATCAAGCTATGGGTGGGATGGGGGGAGTCAGAGTGGAAGGTGTGAATTATGGAATGCAAAACCATGCATAAAGAAACACGAATGCAAATAAACAATACAATAATGTACATTCTATGAATAATGTAAAACTAAATAAAATGAATGGTAGCTGTCCAGGATGTCTGTTCAAGTGAAACAGTTTCACCTACCTCCTCCATAGTCTCTTCCACCTCCGAAATCACAGGAGGTGGGGAGCGCAGGCTGGCAGGCACAAACACAGGGGCAGTGCTGTCCTCACCGGGGCTACACACAGGGTATTCCTCCTCCTCTACCTCTTCCTGATCCTGCTGTTTTTCCTCCTCGTCATCGCTGAATTCTGACCGAGAGCTCCTGAGCGTGACTAGTTTGGGCTTTTTGGACTGCTGGGCTGATTGTTGCTTTGAGGGTCTCCCCCTCTTGGCCGTGCATTTGGGTTTAGGCTTGGCAGCAGAAGCAGCAGACCTCCCTGGTGAGGCAGGGGTAGCATCGGACGCAGAGGTGTGTGCATCTTCTTTGGCAGGGTAATTCAGAGGCTTGGTGGGTTTGGGCACTCTTCCATATCTATAAAACACAGTCACATAATTATAAACCTCTATTATATATCCTCTATAATACTCTATATTTTTATTAGATAGCAGTTTCTTTTAAGGGTTGGGAAAAGTGTTTCTTGTTGCAGTTTTGAATGAGAATTTTTTTGAGGACATGAAGTATTTTGTACCTGGTAGGTCTCGGAGGCTGAGCGGTGACATCCTCCTCTTCAGAGGAAACGTGAGCCTCATCTGACATCCTCTCATTGTCCTCTCTTAAAGGTGATGAATCTTGATTTACCTAAAGGTTTATCATATCTTTTAGTGAGATACAGTTAAGAAAAGATGTGTAGAAAGATACGATGACTCTTAACTGAAACTGAGATAATAACCTGCTCCTTAGAGGCTCCATCAGTCAAGCTCTCGTCTTCTTTATCTGAGGCAGTATCTTTGGCCTTTTTTGAGTCTGGTGGACGCTTTTTACTCCACTTTCGCCCCAAAGGCAGTAGCGGCTTTGGTGCTCTGCCCCGGGAAAGTTTAGCTGGCTTGATTGCTGTGTCCTTGGATGCATTCAAGTCCTCAGTCTTTTCAGACCTTATTATTTGGACAAAACAAAGTATTTAATTTCAAACTTAAAATACATAAACATGATTATTAAAGGCACATTTTTACAATTTACTTACATGTCTGAAGTAGTTTGGACTTCGGGAAGAGCTGCCTCAGGGTCTTCAGGTATGCAGGCCTCCCCTGAGCATTGAAGCAGATCAAAAATAAGTTGCAAGAAAACGAATATAACGTGGTCACAATTACTTTGGGCGGCATGGCTCCTTTCTATAGCCTGGAAGCCAGATCAATCGGCAAGTTCATGTTGATTTCCATCTATCCTGAAACTGGTTGAGGCAAATATGATACAATGACTGACAGAGAAGCGCCCAAGTGGAGCCTAGATGGAGCTTTTTTATTTTTTTTCGCCAGGTCAAAAAACTCGCATTAGTCTGGCTTTTGTCTGCAATTGGAATAATTTAAATTGGCATTCACTCAAGGGTCAAATGACTCTGCACTAAACAGAGGTTTTTATCTGCTCTGATTGACAGTGGTGGAAATGAGAAACCCAGGTGAATGTGCCAAGACAGTGACGTGAGAGAGCTGCTCAGTCTCAGAAAAAAACAAAAAGACAAACTCATGGTGTAGTCTTTTTACATTCTTCTGTAACTAACACGTTACCTTGATCTAACATTGATAACGTACTCGAGAAATCAAAAAAGAACTGAGCCTGATAAATGAACTGAACCTTTCCAGACCCATTCTTAATGGGCATTGGTTTCAGGTTACCCCGTTGAAAGAAATCTTGAAGTTTAAATATTTCTTATATTTTACTATGTAATTCTACCAGGTTGTCTAACAATTGTGAACCTTTTTCTGAAATGACTAAACACTACTGTACCTTGTTCATTGCTCTTTTCACCAGTTTTCTTCTTCTTATCATTTGGTTCCTCATTCACAGCTGCCTGTTTAGCCTTTCTTTTGCTTGGTCTCTTAGGCTTGGAAACAGGGGTTCCTCCTTCATTACAGAGATTCTCGTTCTCTTTCTCTCCTTCCTCCTCATCCTCCAAACTGGGAACTTTATTGGCATCCTCCTCATTTTCTTCCTCCACATCACTCAGCGTTCTTGCAGCTTTTTTGCCTGTAGAGGGAATGAAAAGGTACAAGATTGGCAAATTAGGACATACTGTACTCCAGAATGTAATCCACAACCCTGAGCATTAAACATGGTGAAGAAATGACAAAATAATTACCCTTAGCCTTTCTCTTTGACTTCTTGGGGGAGTTCTTCTTAGCAAGTGACTTGAGTTTCTTCCTGTTTTCCTGAACCTCCAAAATTTTCTCGAGAAGCTTAGAAAAATACTCAATGTCCAGCTTGCGTCTCTCTCCTACAAAACAATTGGTAGTAAATATTGCATCAAATACACACAGGGGCGATAATTTAATGTCATATTTAACCAGGTAAATAAAGTGCTATTAAATACTTACTAAACGCTTTGTCAACCCTCCAGGAATTCGCTCGCTCCTCTTTTTTGAATTTATTCTGGAAGTTTAAATAGAGTTTTAATAGTTTTAATGTATTTACTGAAGCAGTGAGTATATTCTTCTTTCTCCTATTATACAAATAAAGGTATGTATGTAGTCAAAGCCGGGTCACAGTAAACATCACTGACCTTTATCTCTGATCGAGCTCTGTGAGGAAACAGTTGACAAATCATGGAAAAGTCTGTCCCCACCATACTGACTGCCAGGTAGAACATGTCTGTCTCTGAGGAAAACAAAATATTTGAATAATTAAAAACAGATGAGCATCAGAGAAAAGTCTATGTTATAAAAGGTGTTGTAATTCTGGATCTATAATATTATTTATGTCAACCTTCACTGGACCAGGGTTTTGTATAGCTGCTTTTCCTGAAGCTTGAGTAAGTTGTCGTGGAGCCACGCTCAAAGATGGGATCTCGATCCTGTGCTGGGTTTGGCCCTTTTGCTCGCTGGACTTCCACCGTCAAGCTGAGATGCAAGTAGAGAGGATATTATCAAACAGACAACTGGTTCCATCATCTCTAATATCACAGTAATGTTTATATACAGAAGACAGTTTGGATGCAAGTGAGTCCAACCTTTCACCAACAAAAACAAATAAAAGGGAATGTGTGATAAATATGACAGAATGCATTTTGTGGCTTATAAAAATCAACTGACCTCTCTTCATCAATGATGAGAGAGCCATCCTCTGCTACTTTGACCTGAGGAACCATGAATGCGTCATCATCCTCTTCCTCTGCCATCTCCTCTTCATCCTCCCTTGTGCTCGGCAGTTCAGGGGGAGCTTCAGGTTCCTGCACTGTGTCTGGAGACCTGCAGGCGACACATTGTAAACATCAGGGAGAAGGAAGGGGTTTCTTGTACAAGACCATTGGCCTTAGGTCTCAGATGGCATTCTGCTCTCCTTCCACAATCCTTTCTTTTTTTTCTACTTCAGTACAGGAAACAACAATCATCACACTAGCATTCTCAACGCTAGTTTTGATAACAATTTGAATCATGGAATCACACAGCTGACATATTTTTTTTTAGTGTTTTATTATTTCTTTAAAGATTCTTTTCCAATGGTTAAATATTCCGGCAAAACATTTGTTTTTTGAAAACTAGTGCTGCTTTTGCAATCATTGTAACAGATACTATACTGTATGTTATTTGGGTTGGGAACCTGGAACATTCATCCTAAATACCACTGACAATAACTGTGTTCAGCCATCTTTCTGATATATTCGTCTAAAGCACAGGATATAAACAGGAAAAAGATCGAATGAAAGGTATTTATATGAAGATGAGATATCCTTACTGTTCTCTTTGTGGTGAAGGTGGGAGCACAGTCTCATTCTCCTGAGCTATGTCTTCCGAACTAGATCTGGAAAAATTGCAAATGACATTCAAATAAGACAAGGAACCACAAATAATAATATTCAATAGAATATATTTTAACTGGAGGTAAGAATAAAATGTTACTCAAACTTATAGAAACACTATAGAGACACTGAGGATACTTACGTCATGGGGTTGGACAGTGGTAGATAATGGATAAGGTCCCTCATGGTCATTTTGGTGGGATCTAAAGTATATTCCTTTAAATACGGCTTCACTTTTTTGAGTTTCTGCAACAAACAGTATATATTTAATATATTTTTGTTAAACTTAGTGAGGATAAGTTAAGAATAATGTGACCTTACCTTTTCTTTGTGCCTCTCCTGTCTGAGTAACTCTCTAAGTTTCTGGGCCTTGGCTAGCCTCTGTAAATCCGATGGGTCATTCAGGAGTCTGCTCAAAGACAGCGCTGAAGGTGACAATGAAAGTCCACTCTTAGATGACACTAGAGTCTTGGCCCTCTCAGATATTTCATCTGCTTCTCTGTCTGGTAGAGAGACGGGTTCTTTATCTGGTGGTCTGGGAGGAACTTCTTTAACTTGGCTGCCTGACTTGTTTTCTAATTGTTTGCCACTGTCTGTGGGCTGATCGGTTTGTTCTAGTGATTCCTCAGGGGGAGGGACAGCTGAAGGCTCAGAGGAGTCAGGGGTTGGTTTTGGCTGCACTTTGGGCTGCCTGCTCTCCTCCGAACCCCTTCTTCGCCTCGGGGACTGGAGTCCTTGAGGGGCAGCCGTTGTCCCACTTTGGATAGATGATGATGGCTTATCAAGGTCTGACACGGGGGTTTCAATGGGAGTTTCAGCGACTGCCTTGGCGGGGGACTTGGATGTCCTAGAGAGGGTGGAGGGGCGGCCAGGAACCACTTTGGGTTTGACAGTAAACCGCTTCCTTCTCTGGACTGCAGCCGAGGAGCTGGCCCCTTCCGCATTTTGGTCATTGCCATCCCTAAACAGTAGCGAGTTTAGTTATACATAACATGAGCAGTCATTTAGATATCCTTTAATATCTGTTACTCACCCTGGGGTGGTCGCTTTTTCAGATGGAGTCCCGTCAGATGTGGTATCTGTCACAGCAGTGGGAGTGCTGCTCTCACTGATGTCTCTGGGGGTCTCACTGGACTCCTGGTTAGATGAAGGTGCCTCCTGAGGTGTTGCTGCTGTTCTGCCTGCCGTACCGACATTGGGCCGAATACTAAACCTTGATCGACGAAACATTTTGGCCTAAAAATAAAATACGTGCATTAATATTCCAAAAGTTAAAACGTGACAGACTGTGGAACAAGAAAGAACCTGAGGTGCAGTAGAAAACTCAAAATGCTGCCTTTTCATAAATCATATCAGCACCAGTATCACTGCTCACTAGCATTCTCGTCACTGAGTCGTGCCGTATCACCCTGCCCATGTCCTTCCTCCTCACCCCCCTGCTGACCTGTGCTCACTTTACAATAACACTAATCAGAAGTTATTAGGACAGGTAGGCTACAGGACTGAAGTTTACTTAGTGTTTGTTTGATTCGCTCTACAGTTTAGCAGACACGTACCCCAACCCTCACACACAATACTAGACGTAATGTGACACGCACAGCCACGACATCAGGGTAACAGTGACCGGACCGATCCGGATTTATGATCTGACTTCGTCAATTAACAACTAAATAAATGTCAGCATCAGTTTGTGTGAAGCGTGTCAGGGACGAGGAGAGACACACCCAGACAGGAGAGAAGTTCTTCCTGCAGATTACGACGCAGCGCGGTGTTGTAACTTCACTGTTGCTTAAAAGCAAACAATTCTCCTATAGTTACACTGGCGCAGTTTTTCTAGGTAATCATCAGACAAGTTGTTTAAAGCCTCTTAGAGACATTGCCACAGTTGCTCTGTGGATTAAGGCCCTCGCTGACTTCATGTAAAAACAACAGAGACATAATGTTGAGATCATGGGCTCTGTGGGGGACAGACAAGTAGAGGAATTACCATTATGCATGATGAAACGATGTGGTATGGGTCAGGGAAGAGCCCAATAAATGTTGGTGTGGATCCGGATCAGAGGGCAGACCCAGGATTAGTTTTTACCTTCTTTAACATTGTGAGATAGGGCATTATTTACATTTTTATTGATTTCCCATAGTATTGGGTGTGACTCTTGATGAAAAAACTTGGTGGGCCACCATTGTGATATAACTTCAGTTGTGCACCTCAGCATCATCAAATGGTTCGGCCTTGTAATCAATGATGAAAATGAAAAATGCACTTATCGTCTACTCCCCACTATGCTGATGGAGGGATGGGTGAAGTGTTTGAGTCCACAGAACACTTTTGGAGTTTCAGGGGGGAAACAGTGTTGCAGCCAAATCCAATACAATTGACGTAAATGGCGACCACTTCTTCAAACATCTGTGTTCCACACGTGAATGTGGCTCCAGGATAACAGAGGACATGCAGGATAAAAACATGGTGTAAATGACACTGCTTCAAGTCGAATATGAATGTCAGGGCTTATGGACACTTGGATGACACCACAGGAGCAGTATGGAGGCACTTTGAGTGGTCACCATTTACTTCAGTTGTATTGCACTTGGCTGCAACAAGTGTTCTGTGGACTCAAACACCTCGCCCACCCCTCCATCGGCACAGTGGTGAGTTGATAATGAGTGCATTTTTATTTGGGGGTAAACATCTATCCCTTTAACCATCACAACTAAATGAATAACCCTATCCTACCCTCATTCTAACCCTTGTCCTCACACAACAACCCTTTGAATTTGTGAGGACCAGCTAACACGTCCTCAAAAATCGACCTCATAACTAACTAGCCTGCACGCACAGACGCACGCACAGACGCACGCACGCTACATACAAAAGAAGTGTTCACGCTGTGATCGTGACATTAGTTTCTACTACACACAAACGATACACGCGTGGCCCCGCAGCCACGCTACGCTATTTACGTTGCGTAATGCAAACCTCTGACAGGACCAGAGACGCTGACAGCCGTCACCTCCGGCTGCACAGAACACACTCAGCAGGAAACATGAGTTCCACACAGAGACACAGTTTGTTCTAACGAGGTTCTAACGAGGTCGGGACGTGGTAAAGCGACTCAATGTGGACTAGACAAGTACAAACACCAGCACCACCCGACCTGCTGCTGCTGCTGCGAGTCCACAGTCACACTGAGCTCATGTTAGCGCAGACAGAACGAGCACATCCACCATTCTAACACGTCTACGTGTGTGGTGTTACTTACGATAGCGGGCCAGTTCAACAATATGTCCTCCGCCGGGAGAAATACGCTTTCATTGATCGAGGAGAGGCAAACAGCGGATTCCATGCACACATCCGCGCGCCATGTTTTTTTTTTTATTACCCGCTACGCTCCTGGGTGAAAGGGGTTATGGGAAATGTAGTCAGGTTTGCTGCGACGAGCCACATGAGGCAAGATTCCTCAGTTAATGAGCAAGACTGGTCCTCTCTGTCTGCAGGAGCAACACATTAGAGAAATGTTTAGATGTGTTATTACATTACAATAACATTACATCAGCTGGAAAATATGAATCAAATGATATAATAATAAATCAACCATGCATGCATTGTAAATATCTGAAGGGGCTAACAATTGCCATAACCTCTGTTTAGCAGGCCACTGGAAGAAAAGTGAAACTCTAGATGAGTCTTGATGAGTGATAGATACTATGTGTTCGGGTTAAAGTGGTGTGAGTTATGGCAAAATACTGTTTCCTGAATGTTATTTTGCAATAATTTAATTAATTCAGTTCCATTTTGTATTTTATTCTTTCTTTTTTATTTGTATATTTGTATTTGTTTCAGTTTTGCTTGTTATGTTTTTGGAGTGCTATTGTACTTTCGTTATATGGACACTCTTTATTTTACTTATATTTTAATATTTACACTTTACCATATTGGCTTTGGTTAAGTTGCTGTATTTCTTATGGAAATAATAATAAAAAAAGAGTCATAGAGTCAAGTGAACTTAATTTGGATTGGGCATTTTGCTGCTGATCCATCACATTTAATGAGATCACATAGGATCTTTGTATGTAAAATATTTATCCTCAGTTACTGAGATATATATATATATATATATATATATATATATATATATATATATATATATATATACAGTGTATACAGCCTGCAGATACCAGAATTTGAATTTAGAGTCATGGCCAATAATTGTCAAGCCTTGCCTTTTCGATTATATCTTGATTAATGGTGGTCATGTTTTTGACCGATCTTGCTTATGTTTTAGAATAAATGTGTATCCCAACTTCCCAAGGCTACTTTCCGAATTATGTGTCTATAAAATCAAGATCCCAAGGGAGACATTTTATTGTTTCTTCCATTGTGTAAATTAACAGAAAAATAATTCAACATAGGACTCCTTTTGCCCATGAAGCTTTTTTGTATAGCACATTGAGCTGGATTTATGTGTCAAATTTTGGGTAATCAGACACAAGGAGAGGGGCATGGCCTTTTCATGGCCTTTATCCTTACTTATGGCGCCACCATCTGACCAATTGATCTAACACAACCTAACACAGCATTTCCAGTAATCATGCCAAGTTTCATGTATTAAGTTAATTCCAGGTCCCCATTTCAATTGTACATGAATGTAAATGTTTTTGGCACATTTTTGCCCAAGTTTAACACAAATTGGTTTACACTGTTACTTACATTTCATATGCTGCTACCATGCAGCCTGGGTGTAAAAATAATATCACATCTTTGGCCATGCATTCTGATCTCAGACCTTTGCCTTTTTGAATTAAACAGTATATCTTCCTGATAGCTGAAGCCCAAGTGGACGGCAAGCTCCTGAGTCACTTTCTCGTTCTGAGGAAGACAATTAACTTGTCAACACTTTGCAGCATCATGGTTGAATTATTTTATTTCTTTAATACACACAGCATCAGCAGTGAGCCTCTTTGGACATATATTCTCTCTCTCTCTCTCACACATACACACTTCGTTTCTATCTTCAGCAGATAATGACACAACATTTACTTCTCAGATCAGTGGTCTTCAAAAATAAGGGCACTACTGATTGGACAGAATAAACCCATCACAGGTGTAAAAGAACGGCACATCAGGGACAAGAGTTAGAAGAGTTTTTGGATTGTCTCGGGCATTGTCTCGGGCTGATTGTCCCAAAGGTGGGACGTGAAGATCTCCATTCTCCATTTAATCCTCTGTAAGAAAAAGGGAGATGACTGTGAAAATTGTCCACAACTTGAGCAGATGCAGTGAGATACGAAGTAAAGAAAACACTTACCTGGGAATAAGGTTGTGGTCAAGCAAAGGGGTTTCCAAAGGGATCCCCAAAAGCAGCTGTTGAACCAGACGTCTGACCAACAGCGGTAGTCTGCTGTGAGAAGTAAAAGACCAAAATGACCCATGATCACATTATTACTGCAAGCTGCCGGTTATGGTGTAAATATGTTTTCACGTGTATGTCTCTTTACCATAGTTACAGGTGGCCCCCCGAACAGACTCGAGTTTGGAGACCCAAATGCTTCATCAAACATGTCCTGATTGAGGCCTTGTCCCTGGGCTGGTGCTGAGTTATTTGAGATGGAAGCAGAGGAGAAAGCGGCATCAAGGAGGCCAGGGTTAAAGCTTGGAGCTGCAGCAGGAGCAGGTTTGGGGACATCTGAGCAAACACATTACAATAGAGGACAAAATTACAGACAAATCTCAGGGTCATTCAAACGCCAACTCACAATGTTTATCTCAATGTATTATGCAGCTGGTTTACCGTTAACTGCTGACATTTGATTGATATCAAAGTCATCATGATCTGCAACATCCTGAGCCAGGCCCACTTTATTGGAAAAGTATTGATCGAAAGACCCTGGCTCACTGGTGATGGGGGCCGGAGCAGAGTTGGTCCCAAGCTCCCCTTTCCTCGCTGGGATGGCTGGAGGCTTGGCAATCTGGAAGTCCTTGAACATGTCCTTTCCAGACTTCTTCTCTCTAACACCAAGAGGGTCCAAAGCTGTGAAGGCGCTGTTTTCTACCTTCGGAGGTGCCTCTTTAGCTGGCGGCCTGGGAGGGGGGCGTGATGGACCTTGCTGCTCGCCCATCGCCGAGAAGGGGCCCGCGTGGAAAGGATTGGTCATTGGAGGCTGACCCCAACCTGGAGCGCCGATTTGGCCAGGTGGTGGAGGCTGGCCCCAGGCTTGGGACGGGACACCAA